TTCCCATATTAAATCCATATTGATGATATCAATAGGTTAAGTTTTTATTCAAGAAGTGATTGATGGAGATGATAATGTTTTAAAGAAAACAAAGCTTATTTTTTGATAAAATTATCATTCACGTCTCTAGAAGTACTAATAGTTTGAATAATATTTCATGAACAGAAAAACACTTCTAACCACAAAAATATCTCAACTCATATAAACAATCTCATGAAAACATTTTTCTATATCCCAGAAATGTTAAAGTAATTTTTTCAAAGTATGTTTACTGCCATCGCCTAGTATACAACAAATATAAACAACGGTTGAAACAAAATTAAAAATTATTTCACGTATCTGGTTATGATGGCAATTTGTTTGAATTGAAGATATATTACTTCATTTGCTTGTCAGAATTTTTCTGAAGTGAAAGACACGGATATCGTACAGCTAGACATGAGGAAAATCATATAATCATTTTCACAAGGAAATTTGAATATATTAACATTTTGCAACCATTTTGAACAATTTTCAACACTACGAAAATGAAAGACACACTCACTTTTCGATTTTTTTGCAGCATATGCAGCAAGACGTTCTTCTCTAATTTTTGCTGCAGCCTCATTTTCTTCTTCATCAGAATCAGAAGCAAAAAGATCAACTCCATCATCTTCATCATCAGGTTTGGATTCTGGTGCTGATGGTTTGGCCGGACAGACTATTGGTTGAACTGGTTTGGAGTGATTCAAATTTTCTTCCAATGATGCCACCCGATTGTCTAACGTGTTCAGATGTTTCAAGATTTCATTGATGGCTAAAAATAATAATGGATTCCATTAATGACTGATTTTAGGCGTCTAATTTCTGAAGTAACACTGTTTTAGAATATGCTAGTGAGACGATTGGCTTTGCATGGGTAAAATTTGTAGTTGTAATGTTTATTATGTGGTAGTCTAACACCACACCTTACAAAGTTTAAGTTATCACTGTTATATCATGATTGAAGTTATTCCAAAATTATTCATATACAATATATTTGCCTGCGACTTCAACTGTGATGGGCATATTTGGATGAAAAATAACCTATGTTACTTCTGAATAATGTAGCTTTCTAATAGTAAAAGGAATATTAAAATCTATTCAGCAGTTTCACAGTTCAAACATTATAGCTGACTTGCTATGGGGCTTCGCACAGGTGAATGGACAGAAAGATATATGAGTATTTTATTTGGATTAATAGAATACAACAATTTTTTAAAAATATATCTTTATTTTCTTCTTCTGATCCAGAATGTCATTGAGTTGCCGGAACTTAAATAGGATACTTTTGAATTTTCTCACTGGATAGTTTATATGAAAATTCCATCTTAAGTGAGGGTCTATAATAACACCCAAATATATTTGTAGTTGAGCATATTTGGAAGGTATTTTGGATTATTAAGGTTTGGTACGGTGGTAGGGAGGGTCTGTTGTTGCAGAATGGTAAGAAGTATGTTGTTTTTAAAGTTCAGTGATAGTTGTTTATAATCAAACCAATCTTTCATTAGTTCCAGGTCATTTTGTGTCTGTCTTTTGACATCTAGCCATGTTTCTCCGGAGTAGACAATAGTTGTGGCATCTGCGAAACTAGTTATGTTCCCACAGGACCCTGCTGAAAATAATCCGTTTACGTATGAACAGAATAGTATCGGTCCCAAAACCGTTCCTTGTGGAACCCCACATTCAATTGTCCTTTCACTGCTTTTTATATCTTTTATACTAACTATCTGTTTACGATCTGTGATATATGACTTCAATAATTTGATTGTGTTTCCCCTCATACTCTCCAGAGTGTTTAACAGAATTTCGTTTAACAGAATTTCGAACAGTATCAAATGCCTTTGACAAATCAATAAAAACCCCGATTGATGACTTGCTTACCTAATGGCTCAATAATCTGGAATAAGTAAGATACTACACGTGATAAATGTTAAGAAGTGGTAGTTAACTTATCAATATCCGAATTTCAGAAGCAGTATTAAAATAATTCCGTTTTGAAGTGTTTCTCAATTCAATTTCGCTTTTTTCGTTTCACCTCGGCTTAGACGATAACTCAAATTGAAGAGAATGTTTGTTTATTTGTGTCACGGCTCACCCTGTATACATTCTTCAACAGTACTGCGTATTTACCTTTTTGTAAAACAAAAACAAACACTTCTGCACTTGTCAAGTACTTCATGGCTCCACGGGTCAGTCTGACAACACTAAAAAACTCAGCAAGGTACCGGACTCGAAGAATTTGCGTCTCACTGGTGGTACTGTTAGCTACTACACCTGCGAAGTGCGTAGACTATAACTTGATTCTGCTTGCGGCAGATTTGAATCGGTACGCCAAGATCCCAGTTTTTCTCCCACCGGAGTACAAGTTATAGACAGAATCCAACAAGGTGAACGCTAAAAGGTTTATGTCGAAATTTTAATGGCCCGTATCTTGGTTCTACTGAAGGACAGGGTCATTAATGGTGCATGTGGATTAGACAATTAAATGGAGTTTGTGAAACTAATACTTCCAGGATGTTTTTGATATATTGCTGAGGAAATGATAGAATAGATAGAAGTGAACTGAATTGAATTAGTTGTACTTGTGGTTCTAATATACGAGTATTTAGGATACATTGAAAGGAGTATATTGTTAGGAAATATTAAGTTTTGGAGAAGAGAGGTTTTGGATTTCTACATCTTTATTCATTCAGTACCAGGATTGCTACACAATTCAGTAAATGAAAGAGGTGAAATTTCATTTACATAGAACTCTGTTATCCCCAATGGCTGACATTCGATGTTTAGGAATAAAACACTTCAATCTTCACAAAGATGTAGTATTTTCATTTCGTGTAATATTTGGGATGCTCCATACATTTTCCATGATGCTCAAAACTTGAATAGCGGCAGGAGATATTGAGGTTGGAGCTGCATAAACGACCGACTTCATCAGAAGAAGAGTGTGAATCTAACATTCCAAACGACTTAAAGTAACTGGTTTTATCGATTATATTACCACATTTGAACATTGGAAATTGGTCCTATTTTGATATTTGAATAGGTAGTTTTAGACATGTCCTGATGATGCTAACTAGGTTAACCAAACGTGCGATAAGAGACAGTATGTTCTGGTATGGAAAATATCAGAAGCATAAAATTTCCACGTCAAAAAGCAACCTTCATAAGGAGTTAGGTGCCACTTAATTTACCTAAAATGTAAGGGTGGTAACCAACCCCATCCCTCGAAAGGATCTCCTCGTAATAAACGAATAATTCTTAATTTTTTACGAAATCAAAAGGACACGTATTAGCAGGTTGTCATGAAAAGCCAAAATTAATTTTTCTTCATGAAAGTTCTGAACGTAAATTGTACCTTTAAAACAGTTTGATTTATTTAAAAAAAGAGTTGAACTCAATGAAAATACCTTTAAATCTTCAAATTATCTCGAAAACTAATCGTTACAAAAAATTTCTTTTAGCAGAGATGTAAAGGTATTCGAAAGACCTTTAAAACAAGGTATATATTGGTCAAACTGGCAGGACATTTAGGAATCGAATCCAGGAACATCATACGAGCTATGTAAATGAGAAAACAAATTCAACATATTCAAATCATCTTCTAGAAGAAAATCATATCTTCGACCTACTTTCCCTATCTAAATAAGTATGCACCCCCTCCGAGGGGGTACGCACCCCAATAAATTAACTTCTATTCAATTTGGTTTTTCATCAGGTTATATGCGAAACTCTACTAATACGAATATTGTATTATGAATTTTCTGCAACCTTCACAATTACCTCAATAATTTCATTTTGTTGTCATGAATGTTTTATGTGGTAGATTCAACTTAAAAAATGTCTGCACGAGAATTTCCCATTATATTTGGATTACGTGAAAAAAGCCAATAACCCTAAGGGGAAAAGTATACTATTTACTTGCATATATTACACTATATTGCATGTAGAACAAGGAATACGTTGGGAAATTCAGTTAAAAATATTAAAGACAAAATATCCAAATTCGAGAAATCAGGAGTATATAAATTAAAGTGTAGAACGTGCCCCAAGGTATATATTGGTCAAACTGGCAGGACATTTAGGAATCGAATCCAGGAACATCATACGAGCTATGTAAATGAGAAAACAAATTCAACATATTCAAATCATCTTCTAGAAGAAAATCATATCTTCAACGAAGAATTCGAAATTTGGCACATAGAAAATGAAGGTTTGGAACTGAATCATTTGGAAGCAATGGAAATTGATAAACTTAAAAATCCAAATATTCTAATGAATGACCAACTGGATTTGATTATTTAACTGATTGAACTTGTTTTCTTAAAACCGAGAAAGAATTATTACTGATATACATGTGATGTAATATGCTTCAGATGATCATAATTGAAAACGTACCTTAGGTAGAGGTTTAGGAACTTTTTTTCTAGGTAGTCTCAATTATGGTTACCTGTAGTATATAAATAACTCGTTGTTGTTTCATTTCATGTTTTTCTTAGATTACTGTTATTTTTATTGATTTTTCACTGCATCTACAGAGTTCGGAGAGAAAATATCAATATTTTATACGTTTTCCTCCTGGTTTCGGACGATATTCGTCTCGCCAAGAGCTGAAAGCTCCATGACAAATATCCTCTTGCTCTGATGGTCGAGAAGGACTACATCAGTTCCAATAAATTCGGCACTTCCCGTTCCCCACAACGAATTTAATATCCTCAGGAGCGTAGGGTGTCTGGTCGATACCGTAAGAGTGCCGTAGATGGTAATGTAGCACTCTTAGGGCCGCGTTATGTCGATGGATATAGGCCGAGACCGCATATGCTGGACATGCTGATAGCAAGTGCATTAGGGTCTCGGGCGCCTCGCGGCAGGCCCTGCACCTTGTGTCAGGAACCTCTATACCCATCACGCGACTGCGGTAGACTAAGGTGTTGAAGACATCATTCTGGCAAGCCACGATGAACCCCTCAGTTTCCGACTTCAGCCCACTCGACCTGAGGAAAGCGAAAGTCAGGCGCTTTGATAAGCCAAGGTCTTCAATGTTATTGAAGAATACCCCATGCATTGGCTTATCCTTGTGTTTCTGCAGAAGTTAGGTGATCTCTGCGGCTTTTACATGAACTTTCAACTGAACGAGTTCCAACTCGGTGACAGAGTTGTGATCACCTCGTTCAGTGTCGAAAACTAAACCGAGTTCATCAGCTGCTCGGGCAGCTGCCCTAAAGAGAAATGTTCCAATTCCTGATCCCTCATGGTCGCGGACCATGCCAAGGTCTTCAACTCCTGATGACTTTACAGGCTATATGCAGTACCATTCTGTCATGTAGACACTCCAAACTCAAAAGTTCACGGCCTCCCTGTTGTAGGGGGAAGTACAACCGTGGAACGGGCGATACTTCTCGCTCGCCTCACTAGTGACTTCTTAGCATTCGTATCCTATCAAGGCAGTACTGTTTGGTGGTCAACAGCACGCCTTGACTCAAAGTATGATGGATACGTTGTAGATTGCGGCTATTCGCCGCACTGTGGCATGAAAGGTCTGTTGGCCATCACACATTGGATACGAAACGCGTGTCGTCTCGCCGACGTGATCTTAGCCTCTATCTTGTGTACACGCCGTTCAATCTTCCGAACCGCAAGGCTGGAATTTCGTCCTTCCGATTCGGAAAAGGAGTTATTATTATTATTATTGCGTACTTTCTCAACAAGATGGGGCTCCTACACATTTTTCTTTGGAATTTGTTGAAATAAAAAGCTTACGAGACGAAGTCAACTATTCTAGATGATATACAGAAAGATATTACCAGGTGAGGTGTGCTATCAACATCTGATGTTCCACAGGATCTAAGAGAGAAAATAGAAGCTCGTTTATAGCTCCAGCTCAAACGCTTGACATAGATGTATCTCCGTAATTTTTAAGACAACACCAACACAAAACGACATGAAACAAACGAATGGCTTATCTGTGATTCTGGTGGTGTATGTTTTTAATCAATGGCAGAAAGAAAAAAAATGAAAAAAAGGTAAATTATTTAGGTATTTTACGTATCGAATTGAAATATTCAGTATTGAGGCCATCGACTTTTTTTTTAGTATTAACACTATCGCATTTGAGGATATGTATCATTTCGCTCAAAAGTCTTTTGGATAAATATGGTTGAACATCTAGAATAGCTGGATGATCAAAGTCTAAAATGTGTTCATATTCTTTTTCATGTTCAACGAGACCTGTGGGTTTTTTATTCAGTTTTTAAGAGTCTCTCATGTGTTCTGAAACTCATGTTTTAAGATACCGTCTGGTTTAACCAACATACCATTAGAGACAGCTTCCACAGTTCAATTTGTACACTATATTGGATTGTATTTCTTGTTTTCTTGTGGTGTTTTTGTTTTTTGTTTCGATAAAAAATGCTTTCCAACTGTATTTTCATTCGAAAAGGACACTTTAATTCGTTCGGTACTGAGTAGCATTCCAAGTTTATCAGACTAGTTAACCCTTTGTTAGTTTGAAACTGTCCTTATAAGACGAAACTGCTGTAATGTTAGTTACAAATACAAGCGGTATAAAAACATAGAAACTTTCTTTCATTCTTCATTGAATTTGGAAACATCTTCAAAAATACAAATGGGGAGAAATTGGTGGAAAACTCTAAAGCTACTTTCAGTATTTCACGCTTGAAAATCCACAATTTCAACTCCAATATACTTCTTCAATAGCTAGTTCCATATAATGATTCATTACTGACTGGGCTAACATGTAGATTCATTAAAATGAAAATATAAATGTATTCATGAAGGCAAAGTTCACAAAGAGCTTGTTTATGTGTTCAATTAAAACTAACACGGGCATGTCTGTCATTAAGCAATTTCATCATTACCTCATATATTTTCGTCAATGTCGCTGTTTCTCTAAATGGCTGGCATTGTCACCAGAAAGTTAGTATTGCTATTATTGTTTTCAAGTTTCGCCGGGCGCATGTAAATAGCGAAATCCGAATTCGGAAATGGTTTATTTGTCTCGAGCTGTGGAAAAGACGAGATCCATATTATTGGGACTAAAAACGGAAATATTTTGTCGCCTCACAAACTTAATGGTGGAAATCGCATATCGTTATGTATCATCGTTTCTGAGTTACAGCATGTCAAAAATTTCTTGTTTCTATGAAAATAATTTTTCTGAAGCACTTTTGAATGTAGAATTCAATGGTGTGAAAACTTATTTTTCCAAATAAGATATCTAGAGTTATTGATGGAGAACAATTCTTTATGGGACACCCTGTACATTCCTGCCTATTTCATTATAGCTTAAAATTACCCTTCTAAAAATGTAGCAACTTGATGTTTTGCTAGAGGCACTTTTGAAATACAGAGTTTTTAGGTTTTTTCGTGTAGACTTTCATCAAGTAGGCTTCGGACGACTCGATGCGATGATAAAACAGAAAGAAATTGTTCTGTAGTAGCTATCAAATGTTGAAAAAGTTTTCCACAATAATAATTAAAACTCATAGTTTCAATGAAACTGTTAACAATTCGTTCTATATTCACTACTAGTTAGAGCCGGTGACCTAGTCGGCCAACGGTTGGATCCTTAATTGGCTATCCAATTATTACCAAAATCTGCAGCCAAAAAATTGGCGACAATTGCAGGGTTGAGGGGCGAAGCCCCTTCTTGTTGATACTATATTTTTCTGAGCTCTATTAGTGACAGTTCATCGACAAAGGGTTCAATATTTTGCCTTAAAGTTTCTAAACACCTCTGAGATGTGAAAGAGTACCATTATAAATCAACGGGCCGATAATTCTACACCTGAAAACACCTGCTCACACACTGAATCCAAATCTTCCTTGACTTCTCCGCTCTACAATAGAATGAGTCTGTTGTTGGGCCCAAGTAGAAGAATTGTAGCGGTTAAAAATGCCGGTACTGCTCACATAAGCTTTTGGTTACAACTTTCCAGGACCTACTTGCAAAAAGGCAGGTGGCGTTCAAAATCTCCTAGTCTGAGTTGATGAACTCTTCTGGTCCTGTATGGCTTGAATTTGTGTCTTTTCAGTTCTTGGAAGGCCTGTAGATATTTTCAAATTTCGCGTTAACGTTTTGCGATTATTTTCAACAGCTCCTAAAACGACTCCTTATCCCTATTTGATTTATATAATTTTGGCATTTTCCATTTCAAATTGACCACCATCCGTTGTGTCGCAAAAAATGTCTCTAAAAGTTTGCCTTCTCTTTGGATTGCTGCATCTGCATTTTCCCCGGTTTGTATTGAACAGACTATGGTATCCAATTTTTTCATAATTTCCATACTTCATTGAATAAAAACCACTAATTGAAAAGCGTCTTTACTGCTTAAATCAGAATTAGACAGCTACCAGTAAAGATTTGAATTCTACATTATCTAAAGACTACTTATTGTGTGTTTCTCTACATGGGAAAACCTGAAAAATCTGTATTTTAAAGATGACTTTAGCAAAATATCAAGTATGAATTGCACTCAATGTAAAAAGGCGCGACTTGAAAGATTTTGAATACGCTATATGAGTCACCATACCGAACACCAAAAAGAAAATAGTTCAGGAGTTTACGATAACACAGCATTTCCATAATATTAGTATTGAATATATCAACTATTGAAAGAGTCATTTTTTCTAAATTATCCGCAAGGTAAATTCACCGATCAAAGAATTGGAATCAATTAATTCGCAGCTATGGGTAAACATGTCGCAACGATTTTAAAACTTCCAAAACCAGAACTTCATACTGGGCATACGTTTCGAAGATCATCTGCCATCCCACTAGTGGATGCAGGTAGAGACAACACTGCTTTAAAGAGGCATGGAGGATGGAAGTCAACATCAGTAGTGGAAGGATATATACTAGTAGATGCTTCGATGAAAATTAAAAATGTCACTGCAGAGAGAATCTTGAATTCTATGGAACAGCCGTCTATCAGTGCCAATATAGAAAATATGCACGTGTGTATAAAATCATCGATACGACTCGTTACGATATTCAACTGTTCGAGTTTCAGCTTCAGTTCTATTACCAAAAAACAATTTTTTTTCGTAGAAATGGTTGGAAATATGTTTTATAGTTATTTTTAGTCAATAACTGATTTCACTATCATATGTTAGAAATCGCACGTTAAAAGGTAAGACCTCGTTGATCTCTCGCTCTGAGAGAACGACTTCTGAGGGAGTGACAGCTGCTGGTTAACGGAATGTACATTTTTCAACTACCTCTCATCCTTCACAACTAAATAATAATTTGAAATATTCCTGTAGTGGGTCATAGAAAAATTATATTAATGATTCAGTTCATTCTCACGAGTAATGGTCACATTTCCCGCTCGTTGAATAATATAGTATTATTCTGAAGTCAATGTATCAAGTGAGTAACTATTGAAACACCACGTCAACAAAAAATATTTTATTCTTGGGTATATTATAAAGTACTTACATAAAATATTTCAACACATCTACTCTGAATAATAATGGCATAACAAAAGGCATCGAAAAACGTTATTTTCTTTGTGTTCGATTTCTGAGTTCTACAAAAATCTTTAATGACTCATTTCTCGATGGGATAAATTCTGATATGAGTACCTCCTGTTCCTTCTGTAGGAACATTTGATGCCTTAATTAGCTATAAATGTTGTTGAAAACAGCAAGAATGTTAAATTCACACATATCACTGTATCGTAACTGAATATTTTTTTGTTCATTAGCACTTAATGTTTCCTTAATAACAAATAGTTAACTGTGAGAGGGGAAAATGAACTATAGGTAATTTTTCATGAACAACAATCAGAACTATTGAAACCTATGAGGAAAGGAGTAAACTAAAAAAAACTTATAGACTAAAAACCCTCCAAATTTGTCTTTGGGTTTCTGATTTGAACTATATCAAAAGACAGGTTTTCTGCTAGCGTTTTCTACAGAGGTATTTCAGTTTCTGAACATAAGTAAAGTACCGAATGGTATCAAACTGAACAAAATATTGTTGAGGGTGATGCTAGTTGCCGCATTACATCCATCGTATTCGCAGGTACCGCAATAAGTGACAGTCCTGCTTGTATCGTAAGCGAGATCATCAGGACACGATCCTTCTTTGAGATTTCTTGGAACTAGTCTGCACTCCCGATGGACAACTGGCAATCCGTAGCTTCCTGAAAATGTATGAATTATGAATGAATATTTGCGATTTTTTATATTGAAATAAATGGTCCTGGTTCTTTGTATTATTACTTTTATTTAAAGATTTACAAAAGAGATTTTATTTAACAATTATTTATGCAAAAATAAGTGTTGATTTAATGAGTTGGATACAATTCTTACAAAATTCTGGTAGCTACGACCTTTGGATAGCTTTCCTGTTTCAACAAATCGTTCGTTTTCGAATGGAAAAATGATTTTTGATCCTTTTCAACAGCTTATATTTCAACTGAAAACCCAACTAGTCTTTCAAGAATCACGTTTGAGTCTGATAATATACGAAAAAGTAATTTGTTAAACTAACCTTTATAAACTCTTTTGAGACACACACTTTTCTGGTTGTAGTTGCCAGCCAAAGTATCATCGCAAACTTCCAAATGAGAATCGTTCCTGACTGGTTGGATCTGTCTATTATTACCGTAGTTGAAGTTGTCGAAATGCCTCCTATTCTCCTGGATTCTAGTGATATTGAAGTGGTCTCTACAGGTGACGTCATAATCGGAATAGCATTTCCAGCATTGTAGAGTAAACCCTGGAACAAAAATTTATTTTCAAGGTTCATGAATAGTGTAATTTCTGCCAAGAAAACTATACCCAGAAGATACAAGTTATTCGTTAGATATCTATAGAAAGTTCACTATTAGTTCTAGTGGAGATAAACATTGCACCAGAAAGTGACATTCAGATCAAAATATTGATCAGTTGTTCTTCAATTATGTTCTTTGTAAGAGTAGCTTCTTTTGTACTTCATCCAAAGGAGAATGTCAATAATTGGAACTATGAGCAAGAATGGTCACCTTATATCTCTATCTCCAAATACATTCTATACATCTACTCTATACATCTACTTCTCTGCTATAAGAAAATGACGCGGGAAATTGAACCTGGCTCTGGATGATTGTTATTGTTGTTACTTTGTGGCAATTTGTTATTGGAATCTATAAAATCAATAGGTTTGTCAGTTGATTTCAACTTGGAAGTTTTGACCTTGAGGTTCCAAATTATCTAATTCAAAAGTTTGATCAGTGTGGAAAAAATTGACGGGTTAGTATGTCGTGTAAAGGGATATGAATCAAATTTGTCTCTAAGATAGGAACTGTAGGTAAGTGACCATAGTGTTCGCTGAAGGGTCACTGGAGCAGTTTGAAACTGACCCTAATTGTCATGGAAAAATCATCTTCAGCGATGAGGCCCCTTTCTGGATGAATGGGAAACAAAGTCAACATAACCTATGCCATAGGTCAACTTCAGCCTGATTTATGATCCAGAGCCATGGATAATTAGATGTTTCAGATGCGCTCTACCCAAAAAAGCCCTGGCAGACACTTGAACAATAATAGCATTAATAGATATTTCAAACGAATAAAAAAATTCGATAATATACCTTATATACTTTGTTTCGTTTGAATTCAAAAATAGGAATCGCTTATTGGAAAACCCAATACTTAAAACTTGAGACTAACAAAATCTAAACCCAGGAAAGTGAGACAGGATTTGGTGAAGGCCTCAAGCCCAAGGGTTTAGAGTTGTTTCTAACGAAGACATTGAAAAAATTACATTGATAGAGTTATCAGTTATATATAAGTGACTTACATAGCACTGCATTGAGATCAATATTCGAGCAGAGCAGGTACAGAATGGGCTACATGTTGGGTCATGAGAAAAGCAGAATAAGCTCTGAGAAACAAGAATACTAGTAGAGTTGCCTTTTATATTTCGGGATTAGAGAACGAAATCAAATATCAATCATCGAAAATCACTTTATTGTTTTTCAAAATATTTCCCATGAAGATCTATACACTTTTGCATACGTTTCAACCAATTGTCAAAGCACTTTTGTCACTCTGATTGAGGTATCTCCAAAACATGCATTCTGATTGCAGCAACCGCTTCTTCAGGTGTCGAAAAACGTTGACCTCTCAGTTTATTTTTTACGTGCGGGAATAAAAAGAAGTCATTCGGTGCCAAGTCAGGACTATACGGCGGATGACTCATCAAACCGATGTTTTGGGTGCTCAAAAATGCAGTTGTTTGAGCCGATGTGTGAGAGCTCGCATTGTCGTGGTGAAGAGTGATCCATCTTCGGCGGTTGGTTTTTCTGATTTCTTGGAAGACAACTGGCAAACAAACGGTTGTGTATCACTCAGAATTGATTGTTCTGCGTTGTTCTAGTGGTACATGTCCAGTTTTTCCGTAAAAACAGGCGACCATTTGCTTAGAACTTTTGTTGGATTTTGCTCTTCTGGAAACACCCATACAGTCAACTGCTATTTACTTTCGAGCTCATACGCGTAAAGCCACGATTCATCACCTGTCACGATGTAATAGACGTGTTTCGAAGCACCGCGATCGTATTTTTTGAACATTTCCTTCGACCAATCGACACGAGCCTTTTTTTGAGCGATTGAGAAATTCTGTGGGATCCAACGCGAACAAATTTTTTTGACAGTGGAATGTTCACGCAATATTGAATGCATGCTGGTCCTATTAATGCCTAAGGTTGTCTCAACCTCACGATAGGTCACATGACGATCTTGCAATATCAGTTCGCACACAGCATTAATGGTTTTCGGAACAACAATTAATTTTGGACGACCTTCACGAAATTCGTCTTGGAGTAAACTACGACGAGGATTCCATTCACCATACCATCGATAAACACTGGTCCTTGATGGAGCTTCATCGCCAAAAATTGAATTGAGTTCATCCATGCACTGTTGCTGTGTTAATCCACGTTGAAAGTTGTAAAAAATAATCGCACGAAAATGTTCACGAATTATTTTCATTTTTGGGCCGGGATGAATCTTTTGAGTTACTGTAAACAACACAAATAACGCGTGTATATCAAATCGCTCAAAGTATGTATAAGGTCAAAAATGTCCAACTTTAGTCAGTTGCCAGATTGTAACACTAGGGTTGCCAAATCCTGAAACATGAAAGGCAACCTATCGTAGCTGATTTCTTAAATCAATCATTCAGGTGATATGTATAATGCTGCAAACAGTAGTAGCGAGAGGGTGTTCTAAGGAAAAATGTTCGTCCTCATCATCGTAGATCCCAGCTACGGCCTTCTGAACCGTAACGGAGATGAAGTACTGGCCAACATGGATGACTCAGCCTTTCTACTTCAAAAAATATAATAGTATGAGGGGTGCACATAGAACGCTCAATAAAAATAGGGCTTGATTCAAACTCAATTAATAGTAGCAATCACTAAGAGGACCAATATGGAAAGACTGACAAACATCCAGTGAACAACATGGAAACTGAAACCAGCCACTGTACACAATGATGGTTACATACAAATACTTGCTTTTTTGAAGGGAGTGACAATGAGAACCACACCAATAGCAGCACTGAAGATACTCTTGATTCTCCTACTCTTACGTTTTGAAATGGGAGAGACAAGAAAGAGCTAATTTGATTTGGAAAATTCACCAAACTAGAAGGGATCAGGCAAAATGAACATTTCAGATTATTTAGAAAAACGAACTACGCACATATCATCGAGCCACATGACACCGAAGTACACTTTCGACCGAAAGTCCGTGTGTGAAGAAACAAAATGTGAAGAGTAGATGAATAGTGAGCATACTCATCATAAATACCTTGTATTCAAAAGGATCGAAAATCAAATATAGGACAGGAGCTGAAATATATCATGCAGGTAGAAATTTATTTTACAACTACCTGCTCCGTTACTACATATTTGTGGAGGTGTATGGAATATTTCCCTGCACCGTGCATAATAATGAAATTAGGAAATAATTATTTTTATAGAAAGCAGGCCGTCCTTGTTACGATAATGTATACAACTGGCGACCAAAATATGTATAGTGACTGTATACCAGGAAGCTTAGAAGTCCATCTTTGCTCAAAAATGGATATCTTCTGGAAGTCATGGTTGTTCAAATATCAACCGATAATGAAATTGTTTGGATTTGCAAATTTCGAATCGCTCCAACATTCAAGTATAGTTACAGATACTGGTACTTCCACAATAAAATTTCCCAATTAGTCGCGCATTGTTTCGAACAATTAACTTTTGTAATTGAAACTAGGTGTTTTTGAACAGTGTCCTTCATATAACAATGAAATCACTACTGTAATGATTATCTGCATAATTTGATGTTCTTTCAAGCGTTTCACTATCTGAAGATATTTTGCCATCCACAACATGTTCTAGATATGTTGTTATTGAAAGTTTTCAGTGTCGTTCAGTCGTCACAAGTTATTGCCATCTTCAGGGATATAAACACTTCACTATTGTCTGCGTATTGTTGAAACTCAATCAAAATAAATAAGGATCAATAATCCCGAAGGAGGGCGAACATAATGTATAGTATAGTGTTCCACGCCAGATGGGTTGATCAGTTTGTTGAAATTGTGCTTAAGAAACCACCCCACCAGTACCAACAATATATTTCTATGGATATTCAGTTTAGGGTAGGTAAGCCTCTTATCTCGATGTCATAACCATATGATTAGTCACCAATTATGACCCTTTTGAGCAAATCTGGATCGCCGTTGACGTCACATTATTTTTTGAACACTACACGAAGTTGTAATATAATTATTTCATTTGTTTACTGCAACTGCCTGTTCTGTTTTTCCGTTAATCACTATACAGGGCTTTTCATGATGAGCGTTAATTAGCCGTTTCTGGCAAACTATTCAACGGATCAACCTGAAAATTCCACATTATGCATAAGTCAATATGACCTACACTCCTAAAATATTTTAGACGGAGCGGCGTTGTCGCTTCTACTATAAAGTGGCGACTTCTTTGATTTTTCAAATGGAACACCCCTTATATAATATCATATTATGATTCATTATCACTTTGTCAACAAATATGAAGTGGTTTTCTTGCTCGTTTTTTTGAATTCATCACTTATTTTGGATATTCAACATTTTTTTTTATACTTAGTAATATTTCTTTTTCATCCAGTTTTTTAACTGTCTCAGATCAGTCAATTCGAAATTGGTATGTACCTACCTTAGAAAAAGTTACAATTTGTATACATTGACGTATTGGTCTTGTGAAAAATGCAAAATAATCGTGATAACTTCAACATGCATCGATTATCAAATAATCGACTTGAAGTTTTCAAGTCCAAATATTTAGAAAACGGTTGCTTACAGCGACTACTAACACGGGTAGCTTATTTACGTAGATATGATAGAGGAATCGATTTTTTTACTGAAAAATGTGCTAGGAGTACGCCCAAAAAAGTTATGAATCTTTAAAAAATAAAAAGACGTGTAGGTGGCGCCTCCTACGAGTAAGAGCAATAAGAACATCAGGTTCGAATTCGACACCTCAAAAACCTCCTATTACCAAGTTTCGTTTAATTAAGTTCAGTATTCCAAAAGTTATTTGAAAAAAACGAAAATAAAAATAAAACTTCAATATACTGTATCTTGGAAACGAAGCGTTTCTGGACATTTATTTATTTGGACAATTCATATTAGAATATTGTGAGGAATCACCTCCTGAAGTTTGTCATAGTACTTTTGAATCACCCTGTATATTTCTACAGCCATCAAGCGATTTCAACACTGAACATGGTTTGGCAGTAAAGAAACTACCTTGTTGAATTTCAGCCTTTCTAAGATTGACAAAACTTTCTATGTTTTGAGTTGAAATGGGCATAATGCATAATGGATTAAAATAAGACTCCTGCATTAGTCAGTGATTTGTCATGACATATATTTCAAGCTCTGCGTCATTGACAGTGAATAATAGTGGTTGTAATAATTACGTATTATATGAATAAGCTAATTTATGTTGAATAAACGGAAACCGTCATGAAACAAGAGTAAAGAGGTATTTAGGTGATCCTCTCCCCTACATAACAATTGTTTTGGACTTATGAGCATGTCCATAAATTTGAAACATGAGAATATGTTAATGAGCGAAATCGAAATTATTAAAAATAATGAAGTATGCATCAGAAATATCTTGATGATGTAAACTCAAAACAACTTCCTCATATAACTTGTTGATGAGTGATTTGATTTTCAGATTGTATTTTGAATCAGTCACACCTTATGAAAATATCTCAACCTATATTTTCAAAAGCGCCATACCTGTGTGAGTGATCGCGAAGATCAAAACCAAAACAGAAACCGTTCGAACTTGACACATTTTCACTGTTTCAATAAAAATAAGAGTAATTGTCAGCGAGAGAGTTTAATTATACGCTTTGTGCACACTTTATGAAATTTCAGCTATGACTAATGTTGTTTTGCTCTTTTAGATCTTTAAGAGTTAAAATGAAGTAATGTCTCCCACCATCCACACCTATAAGGATAAGTCTATAATAAAGTGATATTGTCATGGCAATTTCGAGATATTCAAATCGATTACGTTCTAGATTCACCGATTCTTGAATGATCAGTGTAATTGATGAAAACATCATATTACTGAATCATACTTATTTGAACTCTCCGTGATATTAGAACTACAGATATTGTGAATTTTCAGCTTTTCTGAATGTTCTTGAAAAATACAGTCCATCATTAACACAAGATGCTGATAGTATTAGCAATGCAGTGTTAGTTACTGAACAATTTACAAGCCACATCTCAGCTTATTTTCGGAAAAAAAGTTTCCATTGTTCCTATTTTGAAATATCAACCGAATCCTGAAACCTCTCAACATTCATACATTTGTATTTGTTCAGGATGAAGTGCTTTTCATCATACATTGCACAGTTTTGTGTTAATTCTTCAACCTGTCCAATAATAACACTAGCCAACAAATAAGAAAAAAAATTGCGGCTAATATTATAATGGCTCTACATGAGAGTTTAAAGTATCCTGACTAGGACTTCAACATCAAAAATTTTCCATCACGTAGTAAAGATTTTGAGTTATAGTTATTTTTATTTTATACAAACATTTTCACATATTATAGGGAAATATAAGATCAAAACAAGAAAAAAACCATATATTTTGAAGACAACATACTTTATTTATAATACAGATGAAAAAACATTCAAATGAAGTCTTTTGTGCATAACCTTTTTGCAAATGTTGACTTTCGTTTCATGGTTTTACCTCATTAGGAACCAACAATAATCTACTTTCATTACTGCATCCCATCTGCCTTGGTAGCGTTGCTCCATTGTCAGTATATATGTCTTGGTGTAATCTTTCCCCTTGTTCATCACTGACAGCATCCAAATTTTCTAGGAAAAAATTCAAATGGGAGTGCAAGAAATGGATTTTGAGAGACATGCAGTAGTTTACAAGTATTTCTTCTACAAGTGTTTCGTAATTTTCAACTTTCTTGCTCCCTGAAAACCCCGAAACAATTTTTTCGAAAGAACTCCACGCGGCTAATTCAACATTTCTTAATTTTTGATCAAACTGTTGATCACTTAATTTTGGAAAAACGTGTTTTTAAGATATTTAAACGCATCAGCTTCTTTGTCTAATGTCAAAATTTTTCGTTATCCCCAGTTTATTATGTAATGGAGGTAACAAAACGTTTTTGGGTTTAACAAGAGGTATATTCTCCACGTTAGCTTGACCTGGAATATATTCATCTTTCCATTCTTTTACTTGATAATGACTCTGTGTTGTCCTACTGTTCCAAAGGCAAAGAAAACAGCAAAACTTTGTAAATCCGCCTTGAAGACCTAGGAATAGTCCTATGACTTTTAGGTCACCACATATTTGCCACTGATTCGTATTAGGTATAACTTATTGCATTTAGAATAAGTGATATACTTTCGTGTGTGATATACAAGTGATATACAAGTGATATACAACTGCATGTGCAAGAGGAATAGAGGGTCTTTTGTTATCATTATGGAGCAGAACGGCTTTTAAACTTGTTTTAGACGAATCTATAAATAAACGCCATTCGTCCGGGTTATGTGCAAATCCTGATTTTTCCATCACAACATTTGGATTTACACAAACACACATTCATTTGACACTTGGTGTTGACCAGAAAAAAAATAAACTGTTGATCACTTAGTAGTTTTCTAATTTGTGGTCCAACAAATATACCTTCCTTGAGCTTTGCATCACTTAATTTTGTTTAAGATATTTAAACGCATCACCTTCTTCGTCTAATGCTTTTACAAAGTTTTCATCAACCCCAGTTGGATGTGTGATGGAGGTAACAAAACGTTTTTGGGATTAATAAGAGGCCATTCTTTTACTTGATAATGGCTTTGTGTTGCCCTACTGTTCCGAAGACAAAGAAAACAGCAACACTTCGTAAATCTACCCTGAAGACCTAGTAATAGTCCTATGACTTTTAGGTCACCACATATTTGCCACTTATACGTATTATAAATTATTGCATTTACAATAAGTGACATACTTTCGTGTGTTTCGTTCATGGCAACTGAATGTGCAAGAGGAATAGAGGTTCTTTTGTTACCATTATGGAGCAGAATGGCTTTTAAATTTGTTTTGGACGCTGTGTTGCCCGATTTTAAATAATTTTCTAAATTTAGGGGAAAAGAAAATTTGGAATGTCGTGTTCATTAAATTTTTGTGAAAAAATCATAACTCAAAAATCTTACGTATAAGGAGATTTTTACTCTCATTTTCGCATTTAGGGACCAAAATTAACAAAGATTTTCCTCTGGCATTACAGTCATAAATTGGCTGTAAACTAGTGTTATGGGTTTTTTCTTCCTGTTCCAGGTCACACCATTTCCAAAAATAGCAAAAAGAATCTATCAAATGATTATAGTTCATTTCTTTCATATATAAAATCATTCTTGAATATGTTGAATGATTCTCAAGTTGAAATAAACTTTTGCCTCATTCTCATCATCTTTGGGATAGTACAATAAAAAATCACACTGTTACCCTTGATATTTCTTATGTCTTTGACCTATTGCTTGGTAGTCTGCCAGGTTAACAACGAGTTTTAAATTACAATGAAGACCTGGTTGAAATTTTCGCTTGGGACGACAATCAATCAAGGATTTGGTGATTTTTTCAAGAAGATAAATGTGTTAGAACGTACATTAAAGCTGTGCTTGTGAATATCCATGGAAACACAATTCATAAGATTGCAACAAATTTAGTTCAATTCGTAGACAACATGCTAATTTTTCCTCTATTTTCATTAGAGTTTTTAAAAGTTATTGAAAGATTGTTTGAAAAGATTTGTTATTGTTAATATCGTGTGTTATGGTGAAAATAATCATCGATAGAGGATTTTGCATTCTGAAATTGATGGAATTTATTTTCCAGCTGATTACTGTATGATGTCGTTTAACAAAAACGACCTTCGTCAACTTCATCGAATCCCATGCTCACAATTTTCATGCTGACGAAATTATTCGACTTGTATTTCGGTGACGAAAGTACACTGATTCAAATGGCGCTCATGAAAACGGACATAATTTTTGAAACAACCCTAGAGACAGCAGAACCCTAGAGACAGCAGAAGAATAGTGGATATACGTAACAAAAACTTGGAACAAATAACTAAATATAGACAAGAACAACAGCAAATTTTCTATTTAGACGAAACTTGGTATGACACTCATGACACAGTTACGAAAGGGTGGACTGATGGTTCGAGAATGTGTACGCCTAACATGCCTGCAAACGAAAGATCGCGACAAATCATTGTGCATTACAGAGGAAGTAAAGGATGGAAGAACATGGAAGCTAATATTTACGAGGAATGGTTTGAAAACACATTGATCCCAAATTTGGATGCAAATAGTGTAATAGTTCTTGACAACGCTTCCTCATTCGCGACAGCTCATGAAAGTACCGAATAAAAATTCGAGGAAAGAATAAATACGAAGTTTTTCCATGGATAAAAATTTGTATTTTGAAGATTACTATACCAAAAACCAACTACTTGAAGTTTTACAGACAGAAACATTTGAAAAAGTGTATGCCCTTGAGAGTATTCCTGAAAAGTATTGACACAACATACTGGGACTTTCCCCCTACTTTTGTGTTTTCAATCCCATCGAGTTGTTTGGAGAAAATTGAAACAAAGCATTAGGCGTAAAAATAATTTTCCAAAATTTGATGAGAAGGTAATAGAGCTAATTGAAGAAGAAGTACGTAATATAACCGAAGAAGATTGGCAGAAAAGGATCAAAAAAGTAATTTTAGTTGAAAAAGACTATATGGAGATTGGACACTTCCATATTAATGGTGGAAATAAATTCATTATTGATTTAAAAGACGACAGTGATAGTGAAACAGACAATATAGAAGAGGAATTACGAAAGCTTTCGATTTTATTATAATCATAAATGATTATTGAATAACGAAATTAGTTAGCTCCCTAACTATATCACTGAAAGAGAGGTAGGTTGCACTATATCGTTTACTTGAACTATACACTATTCACCAAAGGTTCCAAACAGTGCATCATAAATACATACCTAGTACTTTTTAATGAAATCAATATAGTTGAATTGTCAGATTACAGTGAAAAAGATTATGTCAATATTCAATTTCGATTATGACTAATTTAGAATAAATGAATCAAAAATGCTTGTGAAAGTCAATTTACGAAAAGTTTTGAGTAATCCTTATACATTGTGGTCTGTGTTACATCTCAGCGTAATAATTTGATCAGACTTAGGTCACTTAAGGAGAAGTTTGAGACCTGCCCACTGAAATTCAGTTAATTGGGTGTTGATCATAAACAATTACGAAATTATGAGTAGCACCAATTATTCATTCAAGTATGAAATGAATTGTTTGATTCGAATGATATTTATTGTATCATTGTTGATATTTTCATTCCATTCTGAACTTTCATATTGCATTAAGAACTCTTAATCTGAACTATTCACGAAAGCAATTTGTATCAACTTGATTTACAAAAACGGTCCAGGACAATATCTCACAGTAGTAAAACCTAATTTCTTATGAACAATACTCCTACAAAAATAACTGAAATATCATCTAACCGGTTCTTGGATGTTGATAAATATGAATCTTAAATAAATATGACTACAGTACCAAGTTGAAGGTCAAATTGTTTGTTGTTCGTTGCGTCATTTATACTTGAACACTGGTTATTGGTAGTCATTTTTCAATATAACATGGATATACACAATAAATATGTCAATACACCAAAGAGAATGTAAAAAGGCTAGTGAATTAATTGGCAAAAAAATAACTGTACTTAGTAACATTCGTTGGTGATACTATTAGTTTTAATTATTCTTCAAAGAGTTCTGTATTACCTCTATTCGAAAATGTAATTACAAATATCAAACAATACCACACATATTCCATTAAATCGAATTCAAAATCAAGGTTTTTTTTTGAGAAACACAATTATCATGAAATATACGCATTAGTATCGAAGTCACTGAGATGTGACCAGCAGTTTTTAAACTGATTGGTGTTCATTTTTGGGAGTTAATTCTACGAGAATATAAAATCTCCTGAGCTAAAAATGTTGATATTGGGATTGACAGTACTCAAACCACTATAAAAAATAAGTACCAGACACTTTTGTTTGAAGGTTGTCGACAATGTTTCATAGTGAATTTCATTAGTTCGGACTTCCATTGTCTAATTTGATTTAAATGATTTGAAGTCCCTGAAAGAACCAATATAATTGAAAATTGAAGATAAAACGCTGAAAATAATAATTATTTCAAGCAAAAAACGCTGGAATCGAATCACAGTGGAATAAAATACAAGAAAAAAACATGAAAATTGAACAATTAAACAAAAAAAAGGTTCAAGCCAAGTTATTTGACGATGTATTCACAATCGTTTTCGTGTGACGACTGGACTAATTCCCCCGAGAGATGACTTCATATAGGTCATTCGAGTGCTTTCACATATCCCCTCTTCCATCTTTCCGCGTCACAGGTTTACCGGGAGATAACCGTTTGGAGGGAATTGGCTGAATACGTTATTTGACAACATATATGCGGCTTCTTTGAACTTCCTCCTGAACCAGTGTTCCTTCCTGTGGAAAATCTCAGCTTGGGACCACTTAATGTTATGTTGATGAGTTTAAACATGCTCTACTATTCCCGATTTGATGGTTTTTCCTCGCTGTGTGTGTTATTGTGCTCGCCAATGATGACTTTCAATGGCCTCTTAGTTTCCCCCATGTATGATTCTCCGCACTCGCCAGGTATCCGGTAAATGCAATTCTCGGAATCGTAGTCCGCGTTTGGTGGCCTGGTTTTCGTGAGGCTGCTACGGCTAGTGTTTCCGGATCTGAAGCAGGTTCTAATATTGTACTTGGACCCAATTCTTCTTTTGTTTTTTGACAATCATCTGATGTTGGGAAGTGCAAGCACTGGTTGTGACGGCTTCTCTCCCTTGCGAGGCTCCTGCTGTCTTCTAGCCAATTTCTGTTTCACTGTCACTTTGGAGTAACCAGTCCGTTGAAGATCATTTTTGATGATGTCTAGTTCCTTCTCGAGACCTTCTCTCGTATTACAGAGCCCGAAAACACGGTCTACTAGAGACTTGATGATTCTCCTTTTAGTCGATTGGTGGTTGGATTTCATGGTTCAGATACTGTCCCGTGTGAGTGGTTTTTCGGTACACAGATGTTTCTCACTCAGTGTCGGTTCTCTTCACCAATACGTGGCAATTCGTTGTCAACTTCCTTTTCCATTATGGAAGTGGTGGAAGGTCTTACGCTATTGATGTGCTTCCGAAAGATGCTTCAGGAAGTCGAGGTTCCTTGTACGCTTCTTTAATTGCCAAAACCAGAACCGTTCGTTATTGACAATTTGCCACTATATTGAATTCTCTGAAGGAACAATAAACTTGATACAGCAACTCAAACTCTTGTATCTAGATCAGTTCCTTGTGGTGTACCCCATCAGTTCCGTTCTGAGCACTATTTAGTTTTGCATTTACACATTTTCATAATTCACGTGAAATACAGCACACATTTCTACTATCCAAAGGACTCACAATTTGCATCATTTTCAGTTTGAAACAATCCATTAATTGAAGTCTGCAATGACCTAGATTGACTGGCTATTCGATGACTTCGAGAGGCCTGATTTATTTTTCAATCCTGTCAGAACCAAACTTGTGAATTTTGGAAAACACCGAGATGTATTTGAACAACAAGTGGGAGTGTGGGCAAACCCCACTGCATTGGATCTTAAACTAGACTTAAGATTCAGTGAACATGTCGCGTCAGGTAAACATGATCTTACAGATATTCATAATTCAATTTTGATGTTTTGAGGACTACTTTACCCAACTCTTCACAAAACTCTTCTAGTTACAAGATGTTTTTCATACTAGGTCTGTGAAGTTAATCTTTCTCTTCGCAAATTACAAACCAAAAAAGTTCGAAATACTTTACAAATACAAATAAAATTTTCTTTTGAATAAAATTTAAATCACATCATTTTCACCTTTTGACATTCTAACAATGGAAACAAATTCAATTTCCATCTTCTTTTACTCCTTTGGCTTAGGGAATCAAAATTATGCCTTCATCACTCACGATATTATAAAAAATATGATAAAAGTGATCGATACTTGATCAAAATCAATTATAAAGTATTGAAAAAAATATTACAATTTGATATTTCCACTTGACAGTTTACAAAACGGCGACACATGTTTTGCTATACAATAGCATCATCAGGCGTCACAATACTGACAAATTTCTACATGATGAATCAGTATTAAATCTATTAATTTCTGAGCATTCCAAAATGTTGAGTTTTGAATATTTCTCTCCCAAATGAAACACGACGTATTCGTACCCTCTGTATTTTGAAATAGTATTTTCTTTCAAAAAACAACTTTTATTCTTTCATAGAGAGTTCTTTCGGTTTGGCCAATATAAAATTTAGGATAAGAACACAACTCAACTAATATACTCCCGATATATGCGACACTGAAGTTTTATCCTCATTATTTTTCATTAATTTACTCAAATTAGTATTTGTTCTGTAGGCTACACCCACATCTTCGTTTTTTAAAATGAATTTTTAGAAAAAAATGAATTATACCAACTCTGAAAGATAAAATCAATGCAATATAAATGACTAGCAGCCGTCTATGTGGTGGAGTCCGTCTTAAGAATCACACGTTAGAAGGTAAGACCTTGTTAGTCCTCAGCTCGCACAAGTTTAGACTTTTGAGAGTTGTCGTTTGTAGGGGGGCTGGTTTAACAGATTTTTTCAACAGTTGCAGATTGGAATATATACCTAACTGCATAATTTGAATGTATGATTATTCATGAAAAAAAATCTTTTTAAAATCTGTTTTTCCGTTTATCAGCTGTCGTCCCCATACGAACGAAAACTCTCAGAAGTTGAGAAACTTCTGCGAGCTAAGAACTAACGAGGTCTTACCTTTTAACGTGTGATTCCTAACACGGTTGCAAACTCATCCCAGCTTCAACCAGATAAATTCTTTCGAGAAAAATATCTGGTCGAGGCGGGAATCGAACCCACGGCCTTCCAATCGTGAGTCGGGCGCACTACCACCGCGGTCAATTATACCGCGGCCAAGAGTGCAGGTAGCTCTCCCCTTTTGAATAAATGCGTGAATTTTGTTAATTCTGGCTCTTACATTTTCGTAATCATCCATTTGGCCATCGTTCAAGTAGACCTGGGTCCATTTGTGTGGTTGATTTTTTAAGCGAATTACCACTGCCAAAAATAGTTGGCAGACCGCATTGAGTTACGCGTATGTTTGATAGAATACATCTTTTTCGTCGACATAAACAATGACGGGAAATATCTGATTTGAATCTGTAGATTATTATAGCAGAGATTCCAATCCATTCTCGTTTCTTGATCGATAACAATTTTGTCTTTGGTTGAAAATAAGTTTTTTAAATTTGAATGTAATAATCTATCGTAACAACTACAGAGGTAAAAAAATAGACAACTACTTCCTGGGCTAATACCACGCTGGATATTGAATTATACCCGACAGAGAGAAGTTATTAGGTTTTGGAGACCATTGTCTACCAAAACAGTATTTTTTGTCGAACTGAATGACAGAACAAAATCAATAAAGACGTCTAAAATGTATTTCATCATTTTTGGCAGATGAAATACATGGTCAGAAAGTAAGCAAGTGAGAAAGAACTGCTGAACTGGTGAACATAATTGGCTTTTGGATCGTTAACATATTATTTCCGGAGATTAGTTGTTTTCTTTATTTCAACACCATTTCATTGTACTAATTTATGATATTTTTCTACATTATTCTTCATATCGGAAAAGAAATCTAGTCGACACAAAAAGAGGTAAAAACTGTAACTCAGTTTTTTTGAGTTTCAAACACTGGATGTGCTGAACAATTGAAATAAAATTAGATCATATAGTTCCTACAAATTTATGTAATCAATTACAACATAGTGCGTGATTAAGTTTACATCTATCATCTAAAAAAATAACAAATATTTTCCGACAAAATCAATATTGAATTTACAAAAAATCTTACAGAAGAAATCGAATAATCTAAGATTAAAAATGAATTCAGTTCATCTCAAAAAGTACATTAATATGAAATATTTCAAGCTGATCATAAAGAGTATCCAATTTATAAGTTCGTGAAAATGAAATAATGGAACATCTACAACATTTCCATGTCGTAACACAGGTTTGTATATATTTTTCAACTTTTATCAGCTCTTAGAAATTTACATTTTGAATTCTCAACAACATAACAAATTAAAGTAAATATTTCAGGCCGAGGGAAGCCAGAACCATTCCTGCGACAACGGTAAAACTCAAGCTGATGTTTGACGCTGAATTACAAAGGTCAACTTTGCAGGTAGGACACTTGACATCAGTAGCTCCATCTATTGTTGGACAGATGATATCACCAGTTTTGGGAGCTAAGGCGCAGCTCCTCTTGATCATGTCTTTTCCTGCCTTGTCTGAAACAAATATCACCATTTGTGTTAATCGTGATTCGTTTTTCAATAGTTTTGAAGAATATTTTCAGCAGTGAGAGAATGAAAGTCAGCAATGAAAATATTTCAGGGTATATCTCAGATGATGTCACCAATAAAGTAATAATAATAAGGTCATACCAGTTGTTGTCTGTATAAAAAAGGACAGTATCATCAGCAAAGCTTGTGATTTTTCCACTTTTTTCCGCATATAGTAGGTCGTTGACCTACTGGATAGTGTCTTTCGCAGGCCTCAGGCTTTGCTGTATTTTCCTAGTGGGCTTGAACACTGTTTTTATGTTATGCTGAAGTTATGCTTAGAATTTTTCCGATTATATCTGTAACCCTAGGGATATACGGTTTGAGTTTTCTCCCTATTTTGACTTGTAGACGTCTTCAGTTTCATGACTTTGTTGATCTCGGTTACACTGTATCTATTCGATCTCAAAGCCACTTGAAGATGTTCCAATTCTTCTTATAGGTGTTCCGGTTCACAAATTCTATGGGTACGTTCCGTTAGGGTGTTGATAATTCCCCGCTTTTGACTTTGGTGATGGTTGGAAAGTGCATGCAGATATCTGTCCGTGTGTGTCGATTTTCGGTACACTTTATGTGTCAGTCTTGTGACACGTCTTTCGACAAGTACATCTAGAAAAGCTATTCGTTGTTCTTGTTCAGTCCCCATGGTGAATTTGATGCTGGAGTATTGAGCATTTATGTGGTCTAGAAATAGGTTCAGTCTGTTTTTCTCATGTCTCCAGATAACGAAGGTGTCATCCACGTATCGTAGCCAAATGGTTGGTTTGAAATCAAAAGCTTCGATTGCCTTCTTCTCAAATTTCTCCATGAAGAAGTTGGCTATCACTGAGCTGAGTGGGCTTTCCATCGCTACGCCGTCTAATTGTTCAAAGAAATCGATACAGACGGACAGATATCTGCATGCACTTTCGAATCATCACCCACGTCAAAAGCGGGGAATTATCAACACCCTGACGGAACGTGCCCGTAGAATATGTGAATCGGAACACCTACAGGAAGAATTGGAACATCTTCAAGTGGCTTTAAGATCTAATGGATATAGTGTAACCGAGATCAAGAAGGCCATGAAACTGAAGACGTCTACAAGTCAAAATAGGGAGGAAACCCAAACGTTTCTACCGTACATCCCTAGGGTTACAGATAGAATCGGAAAAATCCTAAGGAAGCATAACATAAAAACATGGTTCAAGCCCACCAGGAAAATACAGCAAAGCCTGAGACCTGCGAAAGACAAAAGAGATCCACTGAGGTCAGCTGAGGGGGTATACCGTATACCATGCACCTGCGGAAAGATCCATGATCATGGATACCATAGTCGGCTTGTACGGGAAGCCATAGAAATCCACAAACACACAGAAATCTACAACAGAAAAGAGTAGGCGATAACGCTTAACCGGATTTGGAATCTCATACTGAAAGATGCTAAGGTGGCAGCAGTGCAACCCAATGTATCAGGTAATAACACTTCGGCCAAAGATGCTAATGTGGTAGCAGTGCAACGCAGTGTAACAGGTAATAATATTTCGACCAATCACTACCTGCGTCAAGATAAATACAGATTACGAACTAGAAATCACGAGTCATCGGTGAACCTTCAAGATGAATAAACCTCTGAAGAAGCCAGCCACTCGTGCTGGTGAAACTCAGGATACAGTTCTAAACCACGAAGGTCTTCAAACCCGAACGAAGATCATAACACTGAAAATCTTGGCCGCGAAAGCCTTAATCAATTTATCAAAACTGTATGCCCTACCTTTGTATGACACCTTTTGGCAAACAGGTTCGTGATTGGGATCAGCACTTTTTCCACATGTTCCCTTCTGCCATTTTTCTTGTGCTTCTTTGCACTGGTCTCCGTCACAGGTGTAGCATTCCAGTGCAGCCACTGAAAAAAATATAGCGGTAAAAAAAACTGTGGAAAAATTTTCAGACAATTGCAGCTACTTCAGAATCTCAAGAACATGTCACAATTTTGTCGCATCCGGTGGATTTTATAGTTATTTATGTATCAAGGGAATTAGGAGGGCCTTAATTACCGATGGCAAAGTTTGCGTCCCGAGGGCCTCATCATTTATATTTATCTACCATATCTGGTGGATGAAAGATGATCTTATAAAATGGAAGGGACCCTTTTTGTGACGTGGCGGAGTATAATTGGTTATTTGGGAGATGATGCTGACAATGATAACATTTATAGAATTTTCGCAATAAATTTTATCTAGGACACGTTTCGATAACCGGTAGCTTCATCAGTTACTGCTACATCAAAGTTATTCTACAATGTCTTTCATATAATAGTAAGTATGTAATCACAAAACTTCATAAGATAAATGAATTTATAAAACTTCATAAGATGAATAAATATAGTTCTCAAATTGACACCCTGTATTCCTAGACAAAAAGAATTGCGTCGATTCATTTGTCTTTCCTGTAGCAGTTTTGGGACTGCCTGGAGCCAAGATAACCCCTTCAAAAGCATTATCGATTCTATGAAGGAAGGGACATTCTTGTCTCGAATATTTGTTCCCGTTTTCTGATTCCATATTCCGTAGTATGATTGCTACGTGAAAACGTGGAAGTTTTAAAAAAGCGTGCAAGCATTTTTTCAATACATATCGATAAATTCACTTAGTCGAATTTCCAAATTGCATGTATAAAAATATTCAACAAGCAGAAACATTTTTGTTGATGAACTTCTATAAATAAGTGAATTAAATGTATGAATGCATATGTCATATGAGAATCTTAGCGACTGGAGAAATGCTCAATAAAATGGATTAACCGGGCCTCTCAGACAAAAAATGGAAAATCTAATCTCTGCTCTACTTTGTCAAGCTTTCGCAGGGCAGTCAAAATGAATAAAAAACAATGAATTGAACATATAAATTAACGAAAGAAAGTTAAACATGTATGAATTTTTTGGTTTAACAAATGTCAAGTATGGACAATGAACATACATTCCCTAATTATCGATATTTTTGACGTGTGATTGTGTGAGTTGAAGGTCACGCCCTAAACTTCCAAAATTAGTCTTCTGCCGAAGGAACTAATACTAATAGGTCACGAACAAAAAGTGGAGTCAGTGGGAACGTTAAAAATAAAATGAAATGAATGGCTGTAGCGGAAACACAACCTTATGTTGTAACATTTCGTATGTGAGCAAATTACAGCGAAAACGCTAAAAATAGCCACGGCTGCGGTATTAATCGGCAGAATACAATTTAATATCTCCGCATTAATATCAACATCAGCATCGGTGATTAAGATGAAAAAACTTCCTTCACTAATATTGCTTCACACTTTATAAACAAATTATGCCGTATAATAAACATCGGTATTCATTAGAAATTAAAACAAGTGAACGAGCTTGATGTAGAGTTAATCAAGTGATAAGATTTTTTGCTTCTTTTTCACAGTATGATCCACTGGGTGGAACGAAAATAAATTTTATCCAGTCATTTTAGGTTTTTTAANTTGTGCACCTGGTAAATGCCTGTCATCCTACTGTGTAGGAATGTAGCCTTGAGGGAACTATTGTATAGCGAAACATCATCAAGAAGTTGACAATTTCATCATATATAATAAAAAAACAAGAAAATTTTGTCAGTGCACCAATTTGTTCAATTTCTTTTTGAGGTGAAATCTTTTGAACAGTGGACAGCTCCTTCTCATTCATATTCCAGACATCTTTTGGTTCAAATTCATGCGTTTTCATTACGTCAGTAAGGTATGTTCGTTAAAAGTCGAGGATCACGACAGACTCGTTGCTTGAGGACACCTCAAAGAGAAGCTGGGGTGGACTTTATCCTAGATAAAAACAATAAAATGGCCCAATCCCAAGAGTTTTCAATTCGTCAAAGCAATTTTCCGATAAAGTTTTATATCGAGGGACTTTTTAAGCTGAAATTTTCCTATTCTATTCCATAATGGATTCATATTTATATTCACGACCATGACAATCAACAGCTAGTTCCAAGAATTATTAATATGTTTGCCAGCAGGTGAAATTTAGACTGACCTTGTTATTCTATAAAATAATACTTGCTAGTTAGCGCCTGGAGAAACTTCAGTGAGGATATACATGGGCGTTACGAGTAGAATGAATTCCGAATGTGAACTATTCATATCGATTAGTTTGATACTCGACAGTTTTGTCAATGAGACCAATTTCTTTAATTCTTTCTCGAAATGTATTCGGTTTTTCGAAAAATACATCAACTATCATATAATTTTGGAAATAAAGAGTACTAAAACGGCCGATCCTATTTCTTTCTTCATTGAAAGGACTTATGTAAAGAATTCCTTCAGAAAATAAGAGTAAATTGTATTGAAAGAATACGTAAATAGAAGATGCCCTTAGTTATATCAAATATATACAATTGAATGTTGAAGAGGTTGAAGAGTGGTGAAAGGTTAACTTCTCAAAACGATGAGCAGCCACATTCCATCGCGTATTTCTGATATGTTCCGCTCTTCATGTACCGCTCTTGGTGGAATCAAATGTGCCAAGTCACTTGAACACCTCCCGTGAATTTATCTAAAGGATAGAGACAAATCTCCAACTTTTCTTCGATGTTCCAGGGTCTCAAAGTTGTATGCAATGTTCTCGTCTCTAGTCAGGCGGATGGCTCTTTTCTGGATAGAATCCAGCAACTTCAGAGTATGTTTGGGGGCAGAACAATACTCCAAAGAAGGTATGATCTGAGCCTTATAAAGCAGAAAAAGTTGCTGAGGTCTGTACAGTTTTCTGGTTCGGAACAGTGTCCAAAGCTTTTGAGGAGCAGCCTTCGCAATTCCAGCGACATGATTGTGCCAAGACATATTGGTGTCCATTTAAACTCCCAAGAAACTTATCCAAGCAGGAAGCTGAATTGTCTGACCCGACATTATTATATCCGGTTTGGAAACATTTATCTTCTTGCTAAGGCATGTTCTACCATCACTCTGGAGTAACCATTCCGTTGAAGGTTACTTCAGAGTGATGGTTACTCCAGAGTGATGGTAGAACAGGCCTTAGCTAATAACTGACGTAATCAAACAACAGTTTTACAAAACCGCAAAATTTGTTTCGCCATACAACGGCTCCTTCGGACGTGTCTTTACTAACTATATTCCACAACGTACCGTTTCGTCCATCTTTGACAGTCACTTTTATTTACCTACAACTTGGAAGCTGACTATAACATCAAATTATCTAAAGGAACAATTCGTTCAGGCCAGTCTCAACTCCCTACACTGTAGGTTAATGAACTGACACCTATCAGAAAACAACTACTCCCCTAGCTGATACCACGAAGGGTGTTGGATTATATCTGACAGGTGTCAGTGCAGGATTCTTCACTACATATGCTGTTGGTGATAAAATCTGCTAGATTTCATTCAAGAAAGAGTTATCTGCCTGATAAGAGACCTAAATATCATACGAATCTTCGATAATCTGGAATATCAAAGAAAGTTTGGGAAGTTGTCTTTCTTGTCCAGATGCTTTCACAAGACTCGTCGAACTGACAGCCCGTTTGATATGTCAGAAGTACTATAGCTGTTCTTAGCAGTACAACCTCTAACTCCAGTTTTTTGAAGAACTTCCTGATTTCATCCTCAATAATCTGGAATATCAAAAAAGGTTAGGGAGTTGTATTTCTTTGGTAGATACTTTCACAAGACGTGTTGAACTGATAGCCCGCTTTTTTTTGTATCTTGGGAGCTGTCTGACTTGTCCATTTAGTCCTAGTCTCTAGAAAACACTGCTGCCTTGTTATTGCGTTTATTGTCTTATCTTCTCATGACACCCATTCCATCAGTCCCGTTTCCTGTACTAGTTTGTACAGGTTCCGTGTTGGATATTCGTCATATTCTTCTGGGCGTAATTTCGTACGTCCATATATTGCCTGCCTCCTGTGATTCAGTGCCTCACATTCACATAAGATGTGTAGAGCTGTTTCTATCCCTTCGTTGCATAATCTGCAGCTGAGGTCTCCGTTGTACAGCCCCATTTTATTCAGGTGTCCTCTAAGCNAAATCATTGAATTTCTCTGCGATTTCAGAAGGTTCGTTTATCATCCTGCCGTTTTGATCTCTAATGGTGTTTGTTTCTTCACTCTTCTGGATATTCAACATTTCATTTACAGTTTTCCATAGTTTCGTTGATACGTTTTGTTCATTACTTATCCTTTTCTTATAATAATCTTTTTTAGCTTTTTTAATTTGTTTTTCTAGTTTCTTTTTGAACTCTGAAAGTATCTAAAATCCCAACAAAAAACATTACTCTTTAAACACAAATGGAGCCTAGAAAAATTACCATTATGTATGTAGTGTGATGACGACTTTTTCTGCAGAATCGATGCGTTTCACATTTAGAATTAATGAAATAGGTCCCAATATGGGTTAGGTTAGGTCTAAAGTGAGTGGGTCTATTCGATCCACCACCGCAACCCGCAAGGGTTTATTGTGGCTCACAATATGAAACATCAGGCACAAAGTATGTGCTCTGTTGTTTCATCATTTTCCAAGCAGCTGTTGTAGCTTTCTGTCTGTTTGTGGATTTCTATGGCTTCCCGTACAAGCCGACTATGGTATCCATGATCGGGTGCAAGTAGTTTCGCATCTTCAAACAGTATCGTATGATCTCCTTCACTAAACGCGTGTTCCGCTACTGCCGATTTTTCTATTTGACCTAATCGACAGTTTCTCCGATGTTCATTCAGCCTTGTACCCATGCATCTTTTGGGGGTACCAATATTAACTTTTTAGCAAGTGCATGGTATACGGTATACAACCGGAGCTGATAGTGGATCTCTTTTGTCTTTCGCAGGTCTCAGGCTTTGCTGTATTTTCCTAGTGGGCTTGAACACTGTTTTTATGTTATGCTCATGTTATGCTTGGAATTTTTCCGATTATATCTGTAACCCTAGGGATATACGGTAGACACGCACGTGCAACCGTTTGAGTTTTCTCCCTATATTGACTTGTAGACGTCTTCAGTTTCATGACCTTGTTGATCTCGGTTACACTGTATCTATTCGATCTCAAAGCCACTTGAAGATGTTCCAATTCTTCTTATAGGTGTTCCGGTTCACAAATTCTATGAAGGTTAGCCTTTGTTTATTGTGATAATTAACATATCTATGACGTTTCGATAATTATTTGCTATAATGACCCAACGAAAAATATTTTTTAGGTGTATGCGATAACGATGCTCAGCGGACGATAAAGACACTCATTTGCTGCCATTTAGAATACATTCAAAATAACTGCCGATAATGTACTTGTTTTGCACTATGCATTCTTCATTTCAAAACTGACTCGTTTTTGAATTATTCAGTAGCCCAAGTTGCCCATATTTTAGGCGGTTCTTTCGTTGCGATATTCTCTTTTTTGAAATTGTATCTTCTTTTGAGAAGATTCAAAACTTCCTGCAGAAGCGGAGCTTATGTACAAAATATATAATAGAATTGGCCAGTACTTGATGAAAATCCATAACTGTCGTAATCAAACAACAGTTTTACAAAAACGCAACTCTTGTTTTGCCCTTCAACGCCTTCTCGCGTGTCTTTAATACACACATCGGAAAAGTCTAGGGATATTTTAAAAATGGCAATAATTTTTTTTAGATCGCTTTAGGGAAAAAAAAGTTGACGGGTGATTATTAAACGAAACCTAATGAAGGTTCTACTGTGTTTGTTGCCAAGTACTTTTGTCCAGTACTTTGTGTGCTTCTTATTGGTCCATGTCCCAATCTGGTTTCGTACCAATGATTTTGGAACCCCCGGAGCTGGTTTAGGACCTATATATGAAGTTGATGATCCTCGTCTAGCGCATTTATCAGCTTTATCATTACCTGTGATTCCTGAATGCCCTGGCACCCAGTACAAAGTTAATTTATTCCTGTTTGCAAGTTCATTCAGCTCTTCATGGCATTCCCAGACCAGTTTTGATGTCACCTTCGGGTTTGTCATAGCCCCTAGTGCGGTCTTGCTGTCTGTGGAAATATTGATCCGCTCATTTCATTGAGGTCTCAATTCAATAAGCCTTGCACACTGTAAGATAGCATACACTTCCGCCTGAGAGACGGATGTGTATAGTCCTAGCGGATAGCTGTAGTTTAAATTTCTATCCGCTCGGTATATTCCAGCTCCCGTTCCATGTTTGGTCTTCGATCCAGGTGTTTTTTCCAAACATGTTTTCGGGATGACTAATGGTCTTCCTCTCTTCACGGCTTATGAAGCCAGAGTGATATCAACAAGAGCCATATATGTCAGAAGTCCCCGAAAAGCTATAGCTGCTCTTGGCAATACAACCTCTAATTACGCTCTTTTCAAAAACCTGATAACGTTTTATGATAATCTGGATATCCAAAAAGGTTGGGAAGTGGTCCTTGTTCTGTAGATACTTTTAGAAGATACTTTTACAGGAGTTTTGACCACATGAGCATACGGCCAATAAGGAGTATCATCTTCAAGTTATGCGCCGCTCGCGAGAAGCAATATGAAAAAATCGTTCTGTACCGCGGAAAAAAAATTCATGGCGTTTGCACCTGCTCATTCGTCATTGCGTAATCGTAATTTTTTTGTCAAAAACAACAGCGTGATCATGCTTCAGCCACCGTATTCACCGGATTTGGCTCCATGCGACTTTTTCCAGTACCCAAGATTGAAGAGACCCATGAAAGGATGAGTGCATATCTAAACTGTATCAAAAATTGGAAAACACGTTGGCAGAAGTGTATTAGATCTGAGGGGGACTACTTTCAAGGGGACAGAATAGAAATTGATCAGTAGGTGAATATGTTTTGAGAGAAATGAGAATGTACCTTTTTTTTTGAACAGACAGCGTATATTTCACGTAACTCGCAACTTCCGCTCAACCGTCCAGTCACTGTCACAGAGTTTCGAGTTCTTTTTGCAGTGCCAGCGGATCTCCGTACATGTTTATTAATCAATGAAGGCATTGAAAAACGAAAACCTGAAACTATGGCTATTTCCCAAAAAACTAATTCCAAACCTGCCATAATTCCAACTTTTACTTGGTGAATCACAAATTTCATGCGCTAAAAAACAGCAAAAGTTAGTGAATGGAAACAAACTATTCACTGATGCATTAGAATAAAATTCCTCTTTGCACTTTGAAAAAGTCTAATGTTCTGTGAAAGATAAGGTGGAAAAGTCAATGGGAATCCAAAAATTCAATTCAATTCAAATCAGATATGGACAATGAAGTACAAAAAAAGATAGAAGACTCCAAAGAAGGAATATAAAAATAGGTGTTTTCCTTTTTTACACATCTCAAGGACTTTCTGCTTCAGTAACACTTTCAAGCAATCGACGTCTGTAAACAGAATTGAAGAAATATCGAATAAATTTTCCAGTAGATGTCATGAAAAAAACCTATTTTTGGGTGTAATTCACATGCGTTGAAATTGTGCGCCTATACCTACTTTTAAGAATGAAATAGTAACAAATATATTCACAACTGAACCAAAAATATATACTTACCGGCATGGAAAAGTGCCACACAAGCCAAAATAATCACTAACTTTGCCATGTTTCTTGTTTCTCAAGAATTTTCTTTATAAATACGTTGCTACGTGGAATGTTCAAACCGAGCCCGTTATATTCTGGTCAAATATATTATTAAACCGGCAATAGTTGCCTCTAGAGGGAGAGGGGAGTCTCAGTATGGAGGGCATTCGTGACGTCATGTGATACGAGAGGAAAATAATAAAACTGCGCAACTTTTTTACGAGGGATGTACGGTATTTTCTTGTGGGTAGTAGCGTGAATTAGATTGGAACACAAAATAAGAATCAAGGACTCGGAACGGTTAGTACAAAAAATATTGGACCTTAACACTCAAAGTCCTGATGTCTGGTAACACTCAAAAGTCAATTGTTAGAAAAAGTAAATAAGCAGAAAGGCCAGCTCACTGTACGTTGCATCGTTTGGACCATCTTGCAACATTCTGAAAGCCTTTGCTCGGAAAATGGCGCAAGGGGGTTGACGAGGGTTCAAAAATTTCTTTTTTCATTTTCATCTATTTCATTAGAGTCAGTCTTTACTTTTTATCGATTTTATTTGGGTATTTTTACCTTCCATAATCTAAAAAATATGAATATGTGGATGGAGAACTTTATACACATGTAGAATGGGTAAACTTTATAGTTCACTCCCTAAAGTTACTGCGTAAACTCAGAGTATTTTTCACAAAGAAAAATGTTCTATTATCAGTCACTTGTCGTATTTATAAATTTTGCCTATCAAAAGAAAGCTAAGAAAATTATATTATACTCATCTTGACGTTTCGGAGGCTGAAATTTGCCTCCGACTTCAGAAATGGACAAATTTCAAGTTAATGCACAGTTTTTTCTTTGCTGATTCTTTTTATTTCTCAACTTTTTCGACAGATTGTGTGATTATTGTCATGGCTTGGGTTAATTAATTTTCATCAAGTACCGGGTCAGTCCATTCATAAATATCATTTTATGTCTTGAAACTACACATTTGAGAGGCCAAATCACTTTGACAATCGTATTAAAAAAATACCAACATCATCAACCTTGAAAAACAGCGGTTCTTATCTTTAAATTCAAATAAAAAAAGTGTTTTTTGTATAATTCAATGTTCATATGAATTTAGTTGTTTCGACAGTAATTTTTCTTTCGTGTAATCGATGTTTATTTCAATTCACTTGTTTCGAAATGGGTTTTTTCTTACACTTTTTTGCTTGGTCCACAGATCTTTCTATAGAGTTTATTTTGAAATGGATTGCTTTCTTCCTTTCTTTGGAATATTCCCACATTTTTTAAATAAAGATAAAAAAGTAGAACACCAAAAACTTTCTTTTCCACTAATTGATCTCTCCTGAAACATACCCCACTTAGTTCACATATAGTTTCAGATTTGCATGTCAGGTTGAGTTGAGACAATTTTAATGATTCTTCGCCTTTACAGGTGAAGTAAAACTATCAATCCGTACTTGAACGTAATTATTAATATTATCAACAATTTTAACGAAAATATCACAAATATAAAACATAAAAATAATAATATTATGTCTTTATTCATCATTTGAAAAAAACATTCATTTAAATAATAATAGATAGTTCATATAAATGATGAATAAATAAGTAAATACCAAGGTAAATCAGTTTGAAGCAAGCTCATTTTCATTTTGACCTATTGTCTGTTTTGTGTCTCAGTTATTTAGACAGCTTCGCGAATCTAGCTGTGCTTCTGAATATTGGATGCGCAGTAGATCAGACGATGAAGTGGGATCAGAGCTCATTAGCATCGAGAAACTCGTGTAGCGAACATCGTGTTAGTACAGTGAGTGGAGAAATTATTCTATCTGGTCAACTATGAGTTATTTATTGTTTTTGAAAATGCCTTCGAACAGTAAACTGAAAAACAAGGTTCTCCCTGGACAAATCAGAGGAATTGAGATTCATGAGAGCGGTAGCAACGGCAAATTGAATAAGAATTTCCCTCGCGAAGGTAAGAGGTAAGTATGATAATGAGTAAAATTGTAACCACTTTTGTATTTTGACTTTGAAGGTTCAAGAACGAGTAGCTGATGCTACAGGTGTTTGGGTGCAAACTCTACGAAAAATCAAATGAGAGATGGTAAGAAAATAACATTTCTAACTCCAGCCTTGTCTGGGAGATAACGTGCTTTCAAAGTGGTAAAGGCATTAATGATGCAATTTTCTCACTCATGGAAAAAGATTATACTGGAATCAATAGTGGCGCGGTTGCCGCTGCAGTATTTTGCGATTTCTCGAAGGCTTTCGACTGTGTGGATCACGAAATACTGCTGAGGAAGCTTCCTTATTACGGTTTCAGAGGAGTGATACTGAGCTGGTTCAGCTCATATTTGTCGGGTTGAAGCCAGATGGTGGAAACAAACCACCGCTCAGAAATTGGAAAAATACATAAGGGTGTATCTCAGGGTTCAATACTAGGGCCAACATTTTGTTCCTCATCTACGTCAACGATTTGACAAGTATAAATATTTTAGGGAAATTCACACTATTTGTAGATGATACTACCATTTTTTGGCAATCGGACAATACAAACGATTCAACTAAAATCATATCCAACGGTGTTATTCAAATCGTCTTTTTCTAAATATTTCGAAAACTAATATAGTAACTTTCCGATGCGAACTTGACAATATACCCATTGGGAGTAACATCATTGAGAACAAAAGTAGCCGAAAATTTTTAGGAGTACATATCGATAGTAAACCAAAATTTGAAGAACATATTTATGCCTTGTGTAACAAAATGTCCTCTGGATGTTATGCAGTCAGAGTAGTCGCAAATGAACTTGGTTTAACAGCAGCTAAGACTGTTTATTTTTCTTTGGTGGAATCCCACTTGAGATATGGAATTCCATTTTGGAGAGTATGTAGTGGTTATCTACTTCAAAATATTTTAGTTTTGCAAAAACGAGCCATGATATATATGTGCAAATCAAAACGTAAAGACTCTTCAAAAATTTACAAACTGTACAAAATCAACGGAAAAGATAATCTCGTAAACTCAAAACATAACCTATAAAAGTAGTTTCAAAACTAAAAATCAACAGAGTTATTAAATGTGGAATTATCATTGAAAATATATTGTGATTACCCATTTTTATTCTTTCGTAAATCTCGATATAATTTCTATCGAATATTGCTAAATTCAAACAGTGTTTCAGAAAATAATTTCAACACTTTATTTTGTGTTCACAAAATAAAAAATCTCGGCCAAATTTACTGTAAGTACTTGGGTAAGAAGATAGCAAGAACAACGCAAGAAAGTGCGACGAAACTGAATTTGATGCTTGCAGAGGAATTACACAAGTCGGTTTGACAAACTGGACAGTCATCTTTGAGAGGCTCTCCCTTGCTGGTGGGGCATTTGAACATTAGTTTTCCATTCTTCTTTTCTGCACTCACGCATAATCTGTCGACAGCTGTTTTGTATGTTGTCCTGTCTGTAAACAAAATAAAAAATTAATCGCTGTAAAAAACTGTTTTGATGGTCTAGCCTTCAATTTTTTCATCATTTTATCGTTTTGAAGTAAATGATCATCGTAAAAATAGTTTTGAATAAAAAATTGCTTGCTCATTGCAGAAAAAAATAATATAGTCGATGTGAGATATTATAGGGGATGGAATGAGGTGAATTTTAGGGGTTTCGTTTCGTTGGAAAAAGTTGAATTAGAAACATTCTTCACATTACCTACAATCTTTGAGGAAAATTGGGAAAACTGGGTGTAAGGGTGACATAGGTATGTGAAGAGTTATCAAAAAGGCTTAAATGTACCCTGAGAACAATGGAATGACGTAAGTTCTTGTGCACCCTTGTTAGTTCTTGTAGAGGTTATCGTCAATGACCAGAAAGGTTTTGTCGTCGACAAAAAAAAATTTCAAAAGGACCTTAATACACCCTGGGAGTAAAGAGAGAAGCCAATGGAATGACGTAACTTCTTGAACAACCCTGTTGGTTTCGATGGTCAATGACCAGAATGGGTTGAAGATGAAGAAGTGCTAAAAGGGCCTTAATATAATAGTAAACCCCTTCGGTGTGTGTGTGATGTGTATAGAGGGTGTTCTGCCAAAAGGACACAAAAACACATGAGATGAGCTGTTTTTCGAGGTTTTAATTAGAGTTATTGTTTTATTAACAAAGTATGAAAATAAAATACGTAATTCATCTACATTTATTATTAATTGTGGAATATTAACCATATTTTTCAATAACACTATGAATTTTGTTATCATACTTCAACAACCAATTATTATTTGGTTAAGTATACATAACAAATTTCTGGTAAAGCAAAGTATTCTTTAAAAAGTATTTGCATATTTATAAAAATCTTCTGCAGTTTGCCACCAAATATCTTCGTAAGTTATGGATAGTTTATGGAATTTTTCAATGTAAATATTGAGTATGACCTTTTCTTTCGATGTTGTCTTGAATAAAAATACGTGGTTGAGAATGTTTCGTGTTGACTTTCATTAGTTCGAACTTCCATTGTGTAATAAGATATAATATGGTTGAAAATCCGTGAGAGAACAAAAAATTGAAATGAATAGCTGCAAAATAATCGTATTATATCATATTAAACAAGCCCGAACCAATTGAATTCAGAATAAAAATACGTTATTTTCAGCCTAAACTACCCAGAAGCTTAAATGATAAAATAATTCCTTTTTCAGTATTAAATATCAGTATGGAATGGAAAATGCTATGGTGAAAAATACAATTTGTTCGTTTTGGATTATCATACTGATGATACTTTTGCTCTCATTCAACACAGTAACGAAAGATACACTCTATCCTCCATTGATTTCAGTCTGCATTGCTCACTTCGTTCTTGAAATCACCATACAAATGGTTATAAATATTTTAACGTTACTGTTACTAACCCGTCTGTTAGAAAAAACATCATAAAATTATTATTCAAAGAATGTGTAGGTTTACGACCGGAGATTATTGTATCAACGATATTTTCTGGGTTTGTTGACCATGGTCAGCAGGTTTTTGAGCCTGAGGTTTCGTCCACGACTGCGGTGGAGAATACCAAAGGCGATGCAAACGATTTGAAGTATCAAACATGACCCTAATTCAAACCGAAAATGTTGTGTCTGAATTTCAACGAAAAACAAGGCTTTTAGGTAATATAATAGTCACAATGTTCTCTTTCATAAATGCGAACTCGTTTCATTTGATGAGGATTGACTCCCAAGTCTGCAACAAAAAAGCTGTCTGGATGTTTTCAACTGATTTCTATGTATTTAGGTGTTCTGAAAACTGAAAATGTACTCAAAAAAATAAAGAACATTAGGTTATTTTGCAAAACGCAAAATTGTATTATGAAAAACGGGGTGAGGTAAAGTTGAAGGACAATGTTTTCGTTTGACCAGATATTAGACGGCTTATGGCTGATGCACAATTCATCACAACCATGACGGATCTTCAGAAGGGAAAGATGGATTGCCTTCAAGATGTCATAGAGGAATTTGCAGGCAACAAAAAAGACCCCTAACTATACAAACAAATCGTCTAAAGAATGTTAAGTTGCCTGATGAGTTTGAAAGTACATTTTGTTGATTCCCACACCGACTACTTTCCAGAAAATTCAGGAGGTGTGAGTGAAGAGCAAAGTGAAGGGTTTCCACCAAGACATTAAGGAGATGAAAAAATATACCAGGGAAGATAGAGCGTCTCAATGATGGCAAACTACTGTTGGACGCTTCAGACCTTCCAGATGCTTCCTACAAACGGAAATGTACCAAAACGAGTCTCACTGGGAAATATAAATGTGTTTAGTGCCTACAACTCAATGTATTTTAGATGAAAAAGTAAGTTTTGTTGCGCAATTATAAATGTAATTTTTTTTAGTGTTTTATTTTAAGATGATAAGTTGTTCAACATAGATACCTACATTGCCAGAAAAGGTGATGTTCTATGACAAAATAAAAGTCATTTTGGGATTCAGCACACCCAAAAACATAAGAATTACGTAAAAAAAATTAACACAGCTTTCAATTGTTTGCAGACTTAGATTTTGCAGACTTAACTAAATGATCTACCTTTCCAACTTTTTTTAAGTCCTTTTGGGCCAGGAAATGAGAAATTAGAACAAACAAGTTACTTCTTCAGTTACTTCACAGTATTAAACAGCTTTCTCGTCGATTTTTCTATAATAAAAATGATCTATTGTGGCAAATAACTTACCTTTGTATTCCACGGTAGCGCAGGCATATTCATAACCAGCGGGAGGAGAAACTCCGGATGAGCCACAAGCCTGTTTGGGCCAGGTTTTCATATCTCCTTGGCAGTTGACACAGTTGTAGCATTGGAGAGCAGATGCTGAAATAAAGCGAATATTACTGACTTTTCTCTGAACACAACTTGCACAGATCAATTGTAGTTTGATGAATGGGAAACCCTATTCTTGCTGACTTCATTTCATTTCACAAACTATCATCGGAATTTGCAACTAATTGTATAAATTCAAAACTTTCATTTCTTTCTGAGTGGGAAACGCCTTTGTTGCTTCAAAATAGGCGATCTCTGTTTCAGTAGAGAACATTTCTGTTGAATTAAAAATAAACATGTTTTTCAATCAGTTGATGATTTTTTAGACGGTAAAGTGTAAGACAGATCAACAAAATAGACCCTGAACCAAAGATAGCACACTAGTGTTTTCATATTGAGTTTTCTGGCTTGTTCGTAAAGTACAAAAGTCAATTTTGTGGAGATGTGTACACGAAAAAGTCCAATATAAACACAGCCCAGTATATTTATAGCTGTCTGCGATGTACTTGGCTTCGGCGAAATGATTTTATTCTGTGCTCACGATTATAAAATACTTTGCTGGCGAATCGTTAGGTGAATGGCTGTATGAATTTGATAATCTTCAAAGAAATAAGTAACTGATTGAAGCGACTCTCGAGTCTCGAACGAATCTGAAAACACTGGCAATTTCGCATTTGATGTTTGAATATTTATAGAAAATTTCATTGGTTCTTAAGAATTTCAAATAGGTCACAGCTTCTACTGAGTCGAATTCCTTTCACTAGTATTTTAATTGTCGATTATTCTTGATGTGTTTCACGCCTATGAGGCTTTCCAAGAATTTTCCATCCATGACAAAATTTCGCCGTTTCAACCTTTGTTTGAAATGTAAGACCTGGCTAGTCCTTAACTTGTTAACGGAAAACATATTTTCCAAAAGATATTACTTCAAGATAGTGCCTCTGCTGGAGAAATTGCAACAAGCAATACAAACGATTGATTATTATCCTTAATGGTCTTAAACACCAACATCCTTCGTAAGCCTTTGATATTCTGGTGGAAATGTGTTCACAAATGAAGGAAGTTTCAAAATCAACGATACATAAATTCAAGAATGAGAGGAGAAATGAAGCTGTCAAATCACCAAAACCGTCTTCAGGAGGAAAAACTGTGCCTGTTGATGGAAACTATATAAACTTGGAATCAGAAGAAGGATTCATTTTTTTCATCTCAAAATAGAAATACCGGCCCTCGACAACATATTGAGAGCCTTGAAAGAAGACCAAGGCATGTCTCCAATGATAGGAACTCAAGGGAATTGAATTTGAACTGGAAATGACAAATCAGCAAAGTCCTCTTCTTTATCGTCTTCAACGATATTTGTCTCCAGGTCTTTCATGATTTCGGGGTCAAAGGTTATGTTTTCATTGACATCGCTCTGATATGGTGAAGCAGACAATCTTGCCTATTACACAAGCTAAAGAGCAACTCCAATTCCCTGAATCCACATCGCGAACCACAAGCACCTTTGCAGTTGCAGAATATTGTGTTGAGCAACTCTTCTGGAGTAGGTACTGAATTTGTCGTGAAAGGTTAAAGGAATTCGATACGCATTGCCCAACCCCATAACTGGGGTTCCAAATCATGCCCTAACCAAGTTTGAACTTGAGAATGAACAATATTGAAATGTTGGTGAGCTGCTGCACTTGTTGTGGGTGGAATATTTGATAACTGCTCAGGTTTATTCAGCTTTGTAGCCTTGATGTATTGTGCATAACAAACCGATCGATACAGTCCACAACTTTGGAGCATTGTAGACTGCCAACAAGATTTAATAATAATAATAAATGGGCTTCACTCATTGACATAACGTGAATACAGTGTGATTCAAAAGTATTTTGACAAACTTCAGGAGGTGATTCCCCACAATATTCTAATATGAATTGTTCAAATATATAAATGTCCGGAAACGCTTCGTTTCCAAGATACAGGATGTTGAAGTTATATTTTTATTTTCGTTTTTTTCAAATAACTTTTGAAATACTGAACTTAATTGAACGAAACTTGGTAATAGGAGGTTATTGAGGTGTCGAATTCGAACCTGATGTTCTTATTGCTCTTACTCGTAGGGGGCGCCACCTACACGTCTTTTTCTTTTTTAAAGATTCATAACTTTTTTGGACGTACATCTAGCACATTTTTCAGTAAAAATATCGATTCCTTTATCATATCTACGTAGATAAGCCACCCTTGTTACTAGTCGCTGTAAGCAACCGTTTTCTAAATATTTGGACTTGAAAACTTCAAGTCGATTATTTGATAATCGATGCATGTTGAAGTTATTACGAATATTTTGCATTTTTCACAAGAANATTTTCGTTAGTTATGCCTTTTTTTAACAGATTCTTGACTATCAGTGTAATCGATTTTTATATTTCTTATATTGTTTGATAGAGTTGTAAATAAAACTACGAGAAAAGCAGGCTGTCGAGTGTTTTGGAATAATAAAAGTGTGACGGTTTCGTGTCCTCGAATTATTCTGAGATTTGAAAGTTTCATATCTTTCATAAATATAATTTGGCTTTTTGTAAATGAGGAATTCATGTGTATTGAAGAGTAGGTAGAACTGCCAGGTTTCAGCAATCAAATAATCTTTGAACCGGACAGCTTTTTCCTTCAAATGCTGTTGCAAGTAGATCCAAATTCGGCAGTTTCTCAATTGCTTTTCAAAATGTTTTCCCCTTTTTCAAAGAACACACTAGTCAATAATTTTAGAAATCAGTTATACATAGATATCCATTTATCGAAAAAATTATTGAATATAATGTGATAGTTGATGAGAAATGAAAATTTATATGGAGTTTTTCACCGGGACTACCGGTTGACCTTAAATGACCTTAAAAAAACATTTTTGAAACGAAAATTGTGGGGAATTTAATCCTCTACAATATTGACTCGGACGACTGGACCACATAAACATGTTGTAAAAGAAGAAGACAACATTTAAAAATGAGATCATTCAGTTTAGGAAACTGTAGAACTTTCAATCATAACATTCGACGGAGGTTAATCGGATTTGTCTGATGATAACAAACTATAGTTTCTGTTTTGTGTGGTTATGATAATAATAATCATATGTAAATAAATAAACATATCCATCAATTCCAGGTATAAGTTTAGTTAGATTTTGTTACTAGTTACAAGTATTTCTGATTGAATACCCAAACACAAGCCACTGTGAATAGAAAACCCGACACGAACGCTCATGAAATCTTTTTTTTGCGACCCGTTTGTGATATAAAAATAGGATGGACCAGATAAGGTTTCATAAACCCGCTTATGCCAGCGGAAAACCAAAACAAAATCGCAAAGCTTTGTTCAAACTCTCTGTTTGCGTTCTGCATTCATACTGGGCCTTTATTACTTTTTACTACCAGGAATACCCTCTTTAGACAAACTCTCTGGTTGGGACGTGTAGATTTTGTCTAGTTTTGTACTTCAAAATTTACTTCAATTGCTTTTTTCCGATTTACATATTCAACTATCGAAAATAACCACATTTCATTTTTCTTGCATAATACGTCGTTTCATGTTGTAAGCGTGATTACTCAGCAAATGAACTTAATTTCTTCTCCCTACGTATTTCAAACGACCAGTCATCATCAATTATTTTTCATTGGGTGAATTAGTGTCAACTCGAAAATATTTCTTACTATAGCGGTAGAAGCATTTTTATTCAGTTCGGTGTCTTGTAACTTTTACAGGTTCAATAACACCTATCCGGGTCATCGTAACTTTTACCTCTTGAAAGAACGGACAACTTTACGTTGGTCTAGCATTATTTATTTTCATTCACCACCATATTCAGACATAACTCCAAAGGATGGTGAAGGTGTTAGAAATAGCCTTGTATATATCATTATTGTGGCTATTGTTTTGTTGTTGGATTTATATGATTTTTCAATTGTTCAGTTCGAAGAATTCTCTGATATACACTTCTACCAAAGAGTCATCACAAGAAACTCTTGCTTTCAAGCTTTCAACGACCTAAAGTTCGTTTTTTCTGAAGGAGGATAACATTCAACAGTAATTATGTCAACAATAGCAACAACAGTCATAGAAGTTGAAGATTATATGGTTCTGATACATTTGTTGAGCTACTGTATAACCCAGGTATCGGTTTTCTCCAAAACCTAACCTGATATAATAATGTCAGGACAGACAATTCCGCTTTCTAGTTCGATAAGTTTGTTGGGGGTAAAATGGACACCAATATGTTTCGGCACAAAAAAAATTTACGTTGAAAAATACAAATGGTATAGCAAAAGTACATAAATGGCGTTATCAGTGGACTGTAATTTTAATTGTAATTGATTTCGATACGGGAGCATCAAAGTTACCTGATAGTTGGAGTTTTTCCCTTGGACAAGCTGCTATGGGTTTTCTCAGGAGCTCTTTGAAATGTTTTCCAGCTAACTTAACTGATAATGCATATACTCGACAAAACATTCACAAAATGGATAAATAGCGGTATATCGAGGAGCGAACTAACTGATTATATCGTTTTTCAAAACGGTTGCGATTCAACTTCAAGTATTAAGTTTCAAAGTTTTGTACATCGGCATGTTTTTGGAATATTGTGCGAAAGGTAGAAAAAAAGTCTTATCTGAATTTATCGTGAGAGTTTTACCGGCAAACCATTCGATAATATTTGGGAAGTCATTATCGACGATGGTTTTCAATTCAGCCCCTGTGTTCGAATGATAAATAACTACCGTGTCGTCAGCAAAACTCACTATGTCACTAGATATATCAAGATTAAAAAGGTCATTTAGATATATATTAAAAAGGAGCGGACCGAGGACTGTTCCTTGTGGTACCCCGTATTCCATTGTTTTGCTTGAGCTCATTTCCTCTCCAACCATGACTTTATATTGTCTATTTTTCAGGTAGTTTTCAAAGAGTTCATACGCGAATAGCCTGAAGATGATTAGGAAACGTCAATCAGTGATATCTTTATAAGAAATGGCATTGTTGAAGATCTTAGTTGACAGTAGCATATAACAAATTGA